AGCAAGAGTTACGGAACCATCGTCATCAGAACGGTTTTCCCTCAGATAAGATGCAACAACTGAATCGCCGGTTCGTGGTTGTTCACCTTGCACAAGCTGCAGAAGGTTATTGTGTCGTTCTAGGAGGGTACATAAATGCCATTTGCCATTGGAAATTTCCGAAAAACACGCCGTACAGAATTTTGAAGTGCGCATCCTTCGCTGAAGGCCTCCCACGCTTTTTCGCCTTATTCTGTAAGCCGCATAGATTTGGCAATGTTACATGAGCAGCTATACATACGTCACATTGGCAATTCATTCCACTCCTCGTTGGAACACGTTGACCATGTTTATACTGATGCACTTCTATGAGCTGTCAGAAGTCAGCTGATCACAACTGTCTCGTGGACAGCGTTGAGTTCGCGGTTCAAAAATTACAGACGATTTTCAGTGTGCCATGTTTATCGAATACACCTTTACATAGTTTCTTCAGCAGTATTATAATATACATGATCTGGATCTCCACAAGCTAATGAAATAATAAACTTGCATTGAAGAGTTTTCTTCAAATATCGAGCCTAAATGATAAATCGGTATGATCAAAAAGACATGGTAGTAAAAGCTATCCAGTTCATCGAGGAGATTTGATCTTGAAGTTTTACAGGCTTAACATGTTGTCTCAACGTAGCATACAATGTCCCGATCGAATTTTTGATGCAAAAGAGCTTCATTAAACCAAATAGCATCCTGATGTTTCCCACATCAGTCCCATATGGAAAAAGTAGGCATTGCAAAAAATGGCAGCTAAGAAGTGCAATTGCCATGTAAATTTTGAAAAATCATAGTAAATTAATTGATAATATTTTCAAGTTTTGTTACATCACCGAAAAATATGGCGATTCAAAAAGGAGAACTGTAACTTGACTTCTGGACGATCGAACTTCAGGATGGGACTGATATGCGATTACTTGATGTTGTTTTCATATTTTTCATGATCAAAGTGCAGTGTTCACTCGACTGTCGACAGAAGCAGGCCACTCTCGATGTGTGTTACGAGATCGTCTGTTTACTCGGCAGCAACCATTGTGTGGTCCTCCTCATTGTTCTTCGTCAGCTGTTCTTTTGGTCGATGTGTCGTGGAATTTGGAAAGCCTGGAGTTCAGATCTTGATGTTCTATAGATTAAACAAGGTATTGTAAGATGTCTCAACTTAATGTAGAGCTTCGTGGAGCACCATAATATCAACACGGTTATTTAGTTGTATGATAAAACATGTTCGAATTATCCTGAGGATTAAGTACTGGTGCTCTACAGGCTCAACAATGTCTTGTATGATTTTCAGATTAAATATATGAATCCATGAAGCTCCATGGGACCTCATCACATCAAGTGAGATAAGAAGTTGTACTATAAAATATCCGAAGTAACATTGCAAGATTTATAGAGGTTTAATAGTACTCTACAAGTTTAAATCATGGTCTACAAAACCTTCATAATACAACAATTGTGACATGGATGTTTCATTCTCCAAAATGTCCTGGGCAAGGGAGATAAGAGAGATGATTACGCTGCAAGCAAAACAGTAAAATATGACAAAAATTTTACTGTCATGGAGCGACTTTTATACTTATTTGATCGAACTTTGTACGGCTCATGAATTCTCAGCCTCATTTTTATTCAGTTTCGGTCGAACGTTCAAATTTTCTCAACAGCATTGCAGAAACATGGTTACCAGTGACATTGTCAAAAGATCCCCCCTAAAACGGGCTGCTGTTTTGACAGAAATTTTCTTTGCGCGTCTCTCTTAGTAAAATATGTTCCATTCTACAAATTGTCCTGGAGTTTTGATCTTGATGGTGTACAGATTCAACGAAGTATTGTACGATACCTTATCAACCAGGCTAAGGCCTTGTTGTCCTCTGCTGTCCGAAGCAGTCGTCTCCACTCGACTCGATCCATGGCTGCACCAACAATCAATCCGAAACTAACGATTTTAAATTGGCTCACTACTTGACCAGGCAAATTGACTAACGTGTCCCTTTCTAGTATAAATTCCTGTACTACACTATGTTTGTTTTGATTCGCTATGAAAGTTTGCCAGATAAAATGAGGGGTTAGTGGATTTTCATATGTTTCGAGGGGTGAATCGATTAGCTTGGGACAGAAGATAGTACCAGAGCTGAGCCAAAAAGTTGAGCTCGTTTCTTCGGGACCTTCTGGTCTTAAAGTTACCTCTATGGCCACACATCGCCAGCCTCGTAGTCTACGAAGGTTCCGCAGGTCGCCTTCTACTTGGTCGATCCACTTTGCCCGCCTCTTCTTCTTGTTCCTGTTGGGTTGCTTTCGAGAACCATTTTCACTGGGTCGTCATCCGGCATTCTTACGACGTGCCCAGCCCACCGTAGTCGCCCAATTTTTGCAATGTGGACGATGGATGGTTCTCCCAGCAGCTGGTGCATGTGATTTCAAATCATTTTGGCAGATCTAATTTCATACATTTTTGAGGATAGTCTGAGGAAAATTATAAACAACTTAACACGGCAATGCATCCGCTAGTATGCGTGCGTTAAACGTTACTAATCCCTATAGGTTCCATAGATAAGCGGAGTCACAAAAGTGTTTTTGGCAACCTTAAAATGATCTTACTGGCATCCGTGAAAAACGTCCATAGAGATTAGTGACGTTTAACGTACGCACACTAGCGGAAGCAACGCCGTGTAAAGTTGTTTATTATTTTCCTCTGGCTAACCTAAAAAATGTATGAAAGTAGACCTGTCAAAATGAGTTTGACGTCGATTTGTTTTGTATTTTTCTCGGATATTCACTAACACGCTCTCACATATCGCACCAATACAACCGGACGTGAAAATCTCAATGCCATCAAAGAGCTCTTCCGTTGTGCAAAATGAAAATGAAGTTCAAAGCAAATCTTTGAAGCAATGAATCGAGGAGTGGTTTGCGTAGTATTTTCTACTTCCGTTTTCCGCGAAATAAATCGGAATGTCGGAATGGATCACTACTTGACTAGCCTATTGGTCCCAAGCAAACGATTAACGTATCCCATTCTAGTCGAAATTCTAGTACTACACTATGATTGTTTTTATTCGCTATGAAAGTTTGACAGATAAAATGAGGGGTTAGTGGATTTTCCTATGTTTCAAGGGGTGAATCGATTAGCTTGGGACCGAAGAGAGTACCAGAGCTGAGCCAAAAAGTTGAGCATATTATTTCGGGACCTTCTTGTCTTAGAGTTACCTCTATGGTGATGCATCCTTTCGATTTTTAATTTACTCAAGAAAAAAATCTAATAGAGTGAAAATAACTCGGAAAATAAATAATAATTTTGCCCATAATATTACAATACTTCCTGCGCAAAAAACACCATGGTGACGTCATGCTCGTTTGGATACACTAACTGACAGTTCGTTTGGCTACATTCTACTTCGCCTCCGCTTATCTATCATATCTATAGTATCGATCAGAGACGCTTCACGAAGAAAAGCGTGGAAAGTATTGAGATTGGTGTTGAATTTAATTGTTGAAGTTGGTTGTTTTTATTAAGGAGATTTTCAGCCAGACGCTGGTTAACTGATGAGAATTAAATAATTATAATTAAGTTTGCGTATTTCAAGTGAAATTGGACAGCGAATATTATTGTTATTCAACAACTGTATTTTCGTTATGTTCTCAAAAAAAAAAAAATTTGCTCCAGCACAACGAAATATATCTACACAGGCTCTTTAAAGGCCCTAGCGCAATGACAGCGGAAGCGAAAAAGCCCGATCTGAGTAAGCCAACTTTCGGATTGAAAACTTGTTGGAACCAAATCGACTTCGGTTAGGCATCTTGATGTCATTTGTGACAACTGTCAAACTTTCCGTTTCCGTTCCACTTCCGTCCACATTGCGTTTGGGCCTTAACAAAGATCAAGGCGTTTCCGGTGTAATTTTTCAAGAGATTTGACTTGTACATGATAGGAAGCAACAATGGCATATTGAATAATTTGTGTACATTGTGTACCCTCCAATGTGGTATATTTGGTTTCCCTCAGAGTTGTCAAAAATCGAGTCTTCAAATGCTTCCATTGAATAGCGATACTACCGATACGGTTAAAAAAGTATTCATTTTACCGTAATGCTGAAGCAGACGACAGTCGCTCAAATTAAAAGTCATTTGAAGTAAACACAAAACTGCGGGTTGCCAAATCTTGCAGAAAAATAAATTAGTTGGCCGTGCAAACAGATTTACTTTTATTCTTTCCGCGCGTCTCTTATATAACATCGTTTGTATATAGACTGGACAACGTTTGTCTTATGCAGCCAAACGAACTGTCAAAAAGTGTAACCAAACGGACTGTCATCCTTTAGTTGGCTTCAAAGGAGCAAGTCTTGTAATCTAGTGTTCTTTTGACAAAAAGCTAAATATAAACAAAGAGGCGAACTCCTAGTAAAATTTTGTTTCTCTCAATGTAAGGTTTGTCAACATATTATTTGTACGCGGCTGGATTTGTGATAGTGAAAAGGTTCCTCTCTCTCTCAACAGGATTACAATTTCAACATCCACTACGGTTTGCGTTTACTCTACCCAGCTATATGTTTTAAAACAACATCCGGCCACTGGCATTTGAATCCCAGCTCTCGATTCATCAATAAGTTTCAATAAGACTGAAAAACGTACGGTAGAGCACGGTAGAGACGACGACTGAAAAACGAGTGGGGGAGACATTACTGGAGTACCGGAAACCCACTGGAAACCGTGGTTGCCCCGTAGTGTTGGATGATTCTTGGATGCAAATTACATTAGCATCGAAGCAAGAAGCTGCTGTTGGCACGGTGCTTCAGTAACGGCGATTGACTCGAGAACTTTAGCATTACCGGGAAGGATGATACGCATCAGCACTTCAATGAACTGTTTATGGAAGATTCTCCAACTCTCACGCTGGTTCGGACTCACGCCGACAGTTCGCTCACCTGAGGACGGGACAGAAAGACCAATGTTTCAGGCGGCTGGTTCGGACTCACGCCGACAGTTCGATCACCTGAAGACGGAACGGAATCTTCTTCACACGCTTGAAACATTGGTCCTTCTGTCCCGTCCTCAGGTGAGCGAACTGTCGGCGTGAGTCCGAACCCGCCGCCTGAAGCATTGGTCCTTCGAACCGGATCAACTTCCAGTTTATATGGAAGAACGCCTGCATCGGCCTAAACGTTGTAACGCAGGTACAGTCCCAAAAAACCTCGAAAACTACTATTACCAAATTCCAAACCTAGAACGAAAAGACACAATGCAACGTACTCCGGTCAGACAAAATGTGTTATCTGAGGAGTCACTGATTCTGTTAGAAACGAGCAAAACGAAGCCGGTAATGTTAATTCGGCCCCACAATCATTAAGAAGTTGCGTTTCGGTTAGTGGCGCTAGCAAACGATCGCATAGAAGCAGGATGTCAGCAGCTAGCAAAGCGCAAAGTCAAATTAGAGCATTGGAACTTGTCGACGAACTTGAAGAAGAGGAACTGCGTGCCTCTTTAGAGCAGGATAAAATTCTGGCTGAACAGCGTTTGGAGGCTCTCAACATGCAGAAAGAGTTGGAGCTCAATAGAGAACAGAAAAAAGGCAGAATTCATCAAGAAAATACGCGAACGAGCAATTCAAATCAATGAGCTGCGTTCCCGTTCGGGAGCCTCAAGTTGTAATTCTGTGCAACGTGGGTAAATGCAAACGAGTATCCAGTGCAAGATTCCGAGCACCGTACTGAAAATATTCAGCCTGAAGTAGCAGGTAACGGTATGAACGAAGTTCTCAGTCAAGCATTCAAGGCTCTTCATAGTCGACATGTAAGAGATTTACCGGCGTTTTCTGAAAACATTACGGACTGGCCAATTTTTGAAAACGAGTTCAAGACGTCCACCAGTGAGTGCAAGCTGACGGACAGACAGAATCTCAGGAGATTGAACATCGCATTGCAAGGTAAAGCTCGTAGAACTGTGGAGTCTCTGCTGTCTGCTCCAGAAAACGTTGGCCTGATAATGAAGATGCTGAAATCGAATTTTGGACGCACCTAGTGGGTGGTGGCTAACAGAATGGAACTGCTCAGAAACCTGGATTCTGTCAAGGACGGTAATATTGAATCTTTCCGTTCATTCTTCAACACTGTTATCGGAACTGCGGTAGCGCTGAAAAATGTCAAGGCCGAAATGTATCTGATGAACCCTGAACTAATCTCCCATTTGGCCAACAAGCTACCTGTTTTTAGCAAGCAAATGTGGGTGCGGCACAAGGCTTTGTTGCTAAAAGAGGACAAGATGGCCGATTTCGAAGCATTTTCGCGTTGGTTGGAGGATGAAATGGAAAACCAATTGGCAAGTATCAATCCCCATTTCTTTGGCAAAAAGGATCGCAAGGATCAGCAATTCGTGCCGGTCACAAGATCAAAGCAACCTGTTCTGAACGTCAACACTCGTGAAACAAACCAGAGAGGATATTGTCCTTTATGCAACTCGAACGATCATTTCAGCCTGGCAAAGTATGAGCAGTTTGATAAACTTTCCGTAGAGCAACATCGATCTGCTGCGAGATCCTGCAACGTATGTTATGTGTGTTTGAAGCAAGACCATTCCCGTCGTGACTGCCGATCTGATAGAACATGTTCGGTGTGTGACAAGAATCACCATGAATTGGTACATTCGGATAAGGAATACAACAAAGCAGTACGCAAGTTCGTGAAGAAAACTTCCGAAGATCTTTGCCATGTAAACGGTAGAAGCGTGAACACTCTTCTTCGTGTCGGAAAAGTTAGGATTCGTAGCAACGGTGCAGTCCAGGACGTATTTGCTCTGTTCGACGAAGGATCTTCTCTGTCCATGATCGATGCGGAACTTGCTGAACAAATGGAACTACGTGGTCCAATATCTCCTGTAACGTACCGGTGGACGAATGGAATTTCGCATAAGGATGATGAGCCAATGCTACTGTCTTTCCATATTGCTGGACCAAACGAACAAGCTAAGTGGTATGAAATGGACAACGTACGGACTATCAGCAACATCAACCTAGTAAGCATCGATATTGAAAGGATTAAAAGATTGTATACACTTCTGGATGAAGACAAACTGATCGCCATACAGAATGCTGCTCCGAAAATGCTGATCGGTTCCAACAACGCTGGTCTAATAGTCCCTTTGAAAACTGTGCAGTATTCAACAAGAGGTTTGCAATTGACGCGCTGTCATCTTGGTTGGACAATCCATGGTGAAATCGAACCTGCAACAGTGGATATTGCTGACCAATTTCACGTTTTCCTCTGCAGCAACGATCAGGACAAGGTTGAAGATTTTGGCATCAAACAGCAGGGTCCAAAGATGTCTGAAGAAGACGAGAGAGCTTTGGATATCATGAACCGGACACTGAAACGTTGTGGAGATCGGTATGAGGTTGGTCAAGTGTATAAATACAACAACTTCACGTTCCCAGACAGCAAGCCTCAAGCACTTCGTCGTCTGGCTATTATGGAAAAGAAGATGGACGCTGACCCGAAGTTTGCCGAGCAGTATTGTCAGAAGATCGATGATTACGTTGCAAAGGGCTATGCAAGGAAGCTGAAACACCCAATACTTGGTATCTGCCGCATTTTAGCGTTGTGAGTGCTAACAAATTTCGATTGGTAATGGACGCCAAAGCCAAGTCTCATGGTTTCTCCTTGAATGATTTGTTGCTGAAAGGACCAGATTTCATTCCATCTTTGACTGGAGTACTGATGAGAGGTAGGCAGAAAAAGGTCGCTTTCATGGCAGACATCAAAGAAATGTTTCACCAAGTGCTTATTCGATGGCTGGATCAAAACTCTCAGCGTTTCTTCTGGCGTGGCATGGACCGTACTTCAGCTCCCGCAGTATACGTGATGGTGGCTATGATTTTCGGTGCTGTGTCATCTCCTTCGATTGCACAGTGTATAAAGAATTTCAATGCGAAGGAACTAGAAGAGCGTTTTCCTGGAGTAGAACGTGCAATAGTTAGACAGCACTATGTTGATGACTATTTTGATTCAACTGACACCGAAAAAGAAGCAATTGAACTAGCAAAGAATGTTATCGTGGCACACAAACAAGGCGGATTCAAACTGGTAAAATTTGTCTCCAACTCCAATGCAGTGCTGGAATCTCTTGATCCATCAATGAGAGCTGAACCGAGTGCGGATGTTCGTGTCCTCGGTCTACAATGGCATCTTGGTACCGATGAACTCGTTTTCCCCTTGGACTTTCCGAAGCTTGATATAGCTTTCCGTTCCGGAGTTGATATTCCTACCAAGCGGCAGTTACTACAATTCATGATGGGTATCTTTGATCCATTAAATGTACTTAGTCCAATCACAATCCATTTGAAGATATTGTTCCAAGATTTGTGGCGCCTGCAAGTTGACTGGGATGATAAAATACCTGATGGTCTAATTGCGAAATGGACTGAATGGCGTGGAGAAACTTCGAAGCTGACGGAGGTTCGAGTGCCAAAGTATTATTTTCCTGATGTTCCGTCATTTCACAGTGTTGAACTCCATGCTTTTTCGGACGCAAGTGACAAAGCCTTTGCATGTTGCTTTAGTTGTGGCCAATTCACGAGTGGCACCTCTCAAATCGCAAACTGTTCCCAGGCTAGAGTTGCAAGGATGCGTTCTGTCTAGTCAGATGATGAAGGTGGTACAAGAAGAACTAGAAGTAGAAGTGATATCAACTTTCTTCTGGACTGACTCCAAAATTTGTCTTTCTTGGCTATGTACGAAGGAAAAACTGAACGCTTACGTGGGATCCCGAGTAGGAAAAATCAAAGAAAATTGACTCAACACTAGAGTGTGGAATTGGATACCATCGCATTTGAACGTTGCTGACCTCGCTACAAAGTCCTCTAAGTTCGCACACATCGCTAAATGGCTGAGTGGTCCAGAGTTTTTGAAGCACAATCAAAGTGAATGGCCAAACCAAGAATGTGTCACGATGTCATCAAACGAATCCGTGAACTATCATGTGGAAATCGAAGCTGAAGCAGAATTGGTCTGTCATCATGTTTGTGAAGAAGATGTTATGGATATGCCTGACATTAGCAGATTTTCGGATTACAACCGTTTGATAAGATCAACAGCCTATTATCTGAAGATGAGAAAAGTTCTTGGCATTCCAAAAAGGAACAAACCGAAGAAATTTTCGATCAACGTGCACGATATGGATGAAGCAAGAAACCTGTGGTATAAAATAGTACAGAAAGAAGCGTTCCATGATGAAATCAACAGCTTAAGGACGACTGGCATTGTGAAAAAGTCAAGCCGATTGTTAGCTTACTCACCCGTTCTGGTTAACGGAATTATAAGGATGAAAGGTCGCATTCAAGACGAAAGTAAACCGTTCGATGTGAACAATCCCGTAACACTACCGGACAACCATCATTTCACCAACCTGCTGATCCTGACGTTCCACAATGCTAACGCTCATCAAGGATTAGAAACAGTTATCAACAACTTGAAACAACGGTACCGCATTTTGAAGATTCGTTCCCAAGTACAGAAATTTACACAAGCATGTGTGAGATGCAGAGAGCTACATGCCAAACCAAGTGTGACACAGATGGGTAATCTACCACCAGAGCGGACGACCCCCTTTGTTTTTCCTTTTACTTCTACAGGAATCGACTATTTTGGGCCATTGATGGTGAAGATTGGACGACGTATCGAGAAGCGATGGGTTGTACTCTTCACGTGCATGTCAAGTCGAGCAGTACACCTGGAAGTGGTTTCGTCACTGGATACGAGCAGCTGTATAATGGCCATTCGATGTTTTATGGCAATTCGTGGTGTTCCTCAGAACATCCTGACTGACAACGGGACGAGTTTCACAGGAGCCAATCAAGAACTGAAGAAGATGATAAAGGACCTTAACCAGCAGCAGATAGACGAAACACTGAGTGTAAGGCCGACAACATAGTAGAAGCGATTCGAAGCGATTCGATGCGATAGCAATTGGCAAAGCGAAATGCAGCGGCAAGCGAAGCAACCTATGACATAGTGAAAGCGTTTTTGAAAACATTACAGTCGCGCGCGCAGTGCAAAATATTTGTTCAAATTTGTTATTCAGCATGGATTCATCCGATGAGGAATATTTCGCTTCCTCAAGCACGATTAATTTCATAATCAACAACGAAAGAGAGTTTGCAGTTCAC